TATCCAGTGATTACTGGAACCGTAAGGATGTATAAACCAATGTTTGAAAACACTGGCCACCACCTCACCAATTAGTTATATTATATTTTTATAACTAATCTTTTGCAAAGTTGGGTGGCTGAAAATAAAAATGTTCAGGGCTTTCATAAAAATAAAACTGCCCCTCAAACGGGTATCCTTACCTACATTCACATGTAACTTATATTGCTGAAACCAGTTTAGATTCGACATATCATCCGTCAATCAGTCTAGATTCGACATATCAGCCGTCAATCCTCATTATCATGATGTAAGAAGTTGGAAATTGAGCTAAGATGAGGTCTTTTAATATGAAGCACATACCAAATTTAGTTGCAAACGAACAGCACAACACTTTGTAAAGGTTTCTTACAGAAACAAATTTTACGAAGATGATCAACCAGTGCTCATAACTATTCTAAATGATCCATGCTAAATTTAGTTGAAGTTCTACAATCCTTAATAAAGGTATGCAGCCGAAATCAACATAAGAACTGGCAGACGTATTTAAGATCTAATATATACATGAGTGTCAGAATCAGTTTCAATCTTGAAATTATTTGGAGAAAAAGCAAACATTTTGGCAAGACATCATGTGAACAAATTAATAGTTTATAAATTGACCATCTTTCAATGAAAAGAAAATTATAATCAAATATGAAAATTTTTTAATACCCAGCAGATCGGATTGCATGGTTTTTAAAGTTTGTGTGTTATATGCTTCACTCTTTTTTTTATATTGTCCTAAACTGAGTGGTGCAAACAAAACGTATGGAACCTTTTAACCCCACAGCGAGTTTCAAATTCCACCAGACATCATTGTCCTATGCTAGTTTAATATAATAACAGGTTAAATCTTCAAACACATAATATTTATGCTCAAAGAATTACGAAAAAAAAAATCAGATGTATATCTCGATTTAGCGATGTCGGCGTTTATTAGCTATTTACAGATTTTACTTACTGTTTTCAAACTTATTTTATGAAGAAAATAACGCAAATATGCTAGTCAACAGCTTCCAGAACAATTTTGAAAGCGCTTTTAACATTTCTATTCTCAAAAGAAAAATATTAGTTATATATTGATGTTTTAACTTTCAAAACACAAGTTGCCACATTGACATCATGAGCTTACACCTTTTAATTTGCAGAAATCGATCAGTGATAACAAATGATAACTTGCAGTGGAAAGGAATAATCCAATATCAAAGTTAGGAGGATGGGAAACAGCGGTCTACAACTTACATAAACTAATATAATTTTGAAAAGAAATTCATTCAAGGTTTTGTCATTTTCAGGATGTATGCAATATTCAGCTGAAATAAAATTGTCCTCGTTCATACTATGCTATGCAAAGAAAATTAAGAAAAATGGACACTTAAGGATAAAATATATAAACGATGACACATAATGCTGAAATAATCTCATCCAATATCTCGTTGGGATTGATGTACGTTATTCTCATCCAATGTCTCGTTGGAATTGTGGTGCGTTATTCTCATCCAATGTCTCGTTGCGATTGAGGTGCGTTATTCTCTTCCAATGTCTCGCTGGGATTGTGGTGCGTTATTCTCATCCAATGTCTCGTTGGGATTGAGGTGCGTTATTCTCATCCAATGTATCGTTGGGATTGATGTGCATTATTCTCATCCAATGCCTCGTTGGGATTGAGGTGCGTTATTCTTATCTAATGTCTCGTTGGGATTGAGGTGCGTTATTCTTATCTAATGTCTCGTTGGGATTGAGGTGCGTTATTCTCATCCAATGTCTCGTTGGGATTGATGTGCATTATTCTCATCCAATGTCTCGTTGCGATTGAGGTGCGTTATTCTCTTCCAATGTCTCGCTGGGATTGTGGTGCGTTATTCTCATCCAATGTCTCGTTGGGATTGAGGTGCGTTATTCTCATCCAATGTCTCGTTGGGATTGATGTGCATTATTCTCATCTAATGTCTCGTTGGGATAGAGTTGCATACCAAATTCGATTGACATCAATGCTGCTGAAATCAGCTTTAGGAGGATACGCATTCAGGGGTAATAACTATTCTAAATGACAACGTGAAATTTTGGAAATTTATGTCATTATGGGTCTTGTCAATATAAAGCTGTATGCAAACTTTGTTTTAAAATCCAATAATTCTTTTGTGCGGAAATTGATTTGTTATGTATAGTTTTTTTGTGAATTTAGCATTTGATGCATGACTATAGATTGCAGTCAGCTATAAGTGTGTTTATAGATTTTAAACTCCATCTTAATGATGAGCCTTTTGGCAAGTTTGGGGTAATTTCGCCTTGTATGATTAAGTCATGTGGTTTTTGTTGCGACATAGGTAACTTTAGAGGTATCAGGCTGCATATGTATTTAATGTTATGTTGTGATATAATTTGAGAGAAACCATTTGTTCAGATTATTTATTGAAATTACAAAAGGTTGTTTGATTCCTGACTAAAACAACATTTTGGGATTGTGGTGAATTATTCGAAGGAGTTTTGACAATGTCATTTTGTTAAAACAAGAATGCTGGCATTTCAACATATTTAAGAATATTAATACATCAGCACATTCAATGTCTATAATTAACTCGGAACACTATCCTTCTAGACTTGTGATAGAACATTTTAGGATCGTTTTGGATTTCATTCATTTGAAATAACCATCCTCCCAGCTTTGTTGGGGTGGGTGTTATGGGTTTGGTTATTGTTATCTAGAGGTGATCGTCGAAGGTGTAATTTGCCCGGGACGAGTAAATATCAATTGAAATTGAAATAATTCCGGGTGGAATAGATAAAGAGCTGAGAAGGTATATAGAAGGTATATATACGAGCCCTCATTACAAATAAAAAGACAAAATTTAATCAAATTTCTAACAATAAAGTTCATAAACAACAGTAATAATAATGCAGTGCGATTGGAAGATACACTTCTTTCTTTGTGACTTAACTTCTTGCACGAATTTTTAAATACAAGAAATAATGATACCAGTAGTCGATCTGATAAGTGATATAATTTAAATCATTATTTAGATCAAGTGAAATATATCGAAAACATTGCCTTGTAGTTTCATAACCTGGTGGTCTTGCTTCAGTCCGAATTCCACAGCAACTATTCCTTTTGACTTCCTTGTGTGGATAGTCTGGGTCTCCTTCACTTTTGACTTTCTTTTCCATGTTTACAGGTGCCCCATCCTTTTCGCCCCTTTCAATTTTGTGTCCACTTTGGGTTCGCAATACGTAATACGTAGAGTGTAGATCGTAGAGCGTAGAACTTTGAACTATCACGGCCCCTTATTTATCATTGTTGTGTAAAACTGCCAATTGAAAAGCCTCAATTTTCCCTAATTACTTTTAACGTCTTTGAACAATTTTAACAGGTCAGGAATTTTGCATCTGAAGTTGAATTGTTATATCCGATGTCGACAAGATAGCAATGTAGTATACCGTAACTGGCAGATAAATTTATTGACTTATCAAAATACAAAATAAATTGCATTTCAATTTATATTAGGCTGACATACTTAATGATCAACTCCTCATCGCCTTGGAACCAGAAGCCGCATCTCTGTACTGCAGACATATTCCTCTTGCGCTCAAGTCATCTGAAGACGAAGCAGCCATTGTACCTTTGTCTCCAGGAACTCGCTACATCCTTTTTGATGCTGGAGGTAATAGTATATGAATGATAGAACGAATTTTGTTTACAAATATATTTGTAAATTCCTTTTGGGCACATTATTCATCTATCGACCTCATATTCCCCAATACCCAGCTTGTTCTCCTACCAATCATGCCTTAACATCCTGTGTTGATAATTTTTATATTGCTTATGCTTGTACCGTATGGTGCAACGCTCTTTTACTGATATACTATTTATCATGCACTTTGTTTACATGGCAACATAAATTTACTGGATGCGGAAAAGTCTAGGTATAAAAGAACATCTCCGCGCAACTTGCTCGACTATGAACCGAATTTTGAAAGATATGCTCTAACAAAGAAAATTTGTACATGCTGCGGGGGTGGGGGTGGGATGGGGAGGGGTGGGGTGCTTCTTTACCTGGTTATGGTCGGATTAAAACGAAGCACACTTTCGATGTTTACTAAAATCGGATTTTATCATCTTTGTTTACGTGTTTGGGGAATGTTCGATAAGAATTCTAGAAGATTCTTTTATGCCATAGGTCAAGTGAAATGTGGATAAATAGGTATTTGGACAAAAAATAAATCAATCTTATTTTAAGATCAGTTTGTGTAATCATTCTTTTGTGCTCAGATATAACTTGAGAGGAATTGTTTATTTTAATCAGTAATGGAATTACTAAGTACTCATTGTCTTTTGACAATATTTGGAGTTATTGTCGACTCATTTCAAGACATTCTGGATTGCATCATTGTAGCGCATTAGGACATTCATGACTAATGGAATTCTTTGGAATTTTCTGTACTTCTTTTTACTTATGATTGGATATTTAGGATTTTATGGGATTAAATTCACAATATTATAACTGTATTTAATTTTCACTTTGTAACTTAGTAGAAATAAAGACCTTCTTAATTTTACTAAAATGGTTGATTTCACTTCCTGTCTCTAACATAGTTCATGTAACAAGATAACCTGGTTGGGGTCGGATTGAAACGAAGCACACTTTTGATTGTGCCCAAAAATGCAATGTTTATATATGAATGATTTGAAGGTAAAATAATTATCCAGTTCGTGCACAAAAGATCCAAATATTGGATATTTTACATAAAGATGCACACCAAGTCATGTGATGTGATTATGATTTTTAACGTAGCTTTAACAATTTTTCAGTCATGTCTGCAGTGTGGCAGTATATAGTGATGTCTAGCACTGGGGCATCATGCCGCAGATATGTAGCATGATATCCCACCTAGTAACATTATCCTGACACCTAGCTGACCAGTCCTAATACTAATGCTGAGCGCCAAATGAGGCTGCTGTTAGAACCATTTTTAATAGTCTTTGGTATGACTCGACCAGGGATGGAACCCACGACCTCCAGCATCTGAAGCGGACGCTCTAACCACTAAGCCAACATAGCGGTTCGCACCGAGTCAAACATCTGATATAAATAAAACAGTTCCTAACTGGAACGAATTATAATTTAAACGAAAAAACTGAGATGGAAGAAACAAAAAATTAAAAGCAGAAAAGAAACCAAGATAAGTGACTCAATATGATGCCACTAGAATAATAATACGAGTCATGGAAACGATAAGTTATCATCCAAGAAAAGATTAACTATTTATAAAGCCAATCACAAGCTTTCACTCAAATAGTGACAATTGTTTTTTTTTTTAAAAAAAGCCTAATGATTATGATTTACAAATAAATAATGATAACGATGTTCGCACAAATAACAGATTTCACACACCGTTACAGATTTATCCTAATGAAAAGTTGACATCTACAAGGAACTTAATGTATACAAGCTACGTTGCAATGCACTACCTGAGTTCTTCATGGCATAGCGGTTTTCCCATCGTAAGCATGGAGTGAACCGAACTCAGTACGATTTAAATATACCTAAACCACCCTTGGGTAACGCTGTTCGCAGATAGGAAACTTAAGTACATTTTACTCCTAATACACGCAACAATAAATATACACAATTCCGTGACAGTTTAATCGTAACAGTATGGTTTGTAAGGCGTCATTTTCTTGCACTGGTCAATTGGGACAAACTTTAGCAAGCTTAGTTTCAGTTTAAGAAGATTCTATAAATTTGTGGCCATATATGTTATGTAAACAAATTATAATGATTTCAAAGTCAATGATCAGATATCTTGATTTCAGATTTAGTTATTAATTCATGGCATACCTTATCTGGAAGCATTCTGAAAATCCCTGCATATTGAAGGGTCGCCAATCTGAAAGTTTGGTCGCATTTTTATTACTATTGTAATTTATATGGTAAATTTCGTCTTCTTAACGAAAAAACGCATACAAGATAGCGCTTGAATACTATGAATCCATATATTTTAACGGGTATTGATTTCATAATGACTCACACAGTGACGACGCCACTTTAATTTGTGCATGAAATAGGCATTACAATCTCGTTTCCACTGAAGAAACAGCTCATGAGTTTTCAATTCGCGGTTTATCTGATGTATTATAACGTATTATAACTGTTACATAGGAATGTATCCACTACTTCAAATATGGATATAAACTCATAGCTTTTATGTATAAATGAATAAATTGTGAAATATGGCGGTTTTTTAATTTGGTAGTTGGATTATAGGTAAGTTGTCCTTCCTTCCTTCCTAATATGCTTTTGAATTTAGAGACATGATAGGGCCCCTGAATCGACGTATCTGTATCGCATATGTATCCAATTTTTTAAATTCTTTTGTTGGTTTTATTAGTTTTAATTAGTCACACTTAACTTTTAATTTCAGGTGGCACCATTGACATAACAACTCATGAAGTAATGGAGGATGGCAATTTGAAAGAGATTCACATGGTAACTGGAGGGGCATGGGGAGGACAAGAAGTGGATGAGGCCTTCAAGCAGTTTCTGATCATGGTATTTGGAGATCCTGTTTTTCAGAAATTCAGAGTCGATGCAACTGACGATTACATTGGAATGTTTCGTGATTTTGAAGTAAAAAAGAGAAAGGTATTTCCCGATGAGAAGCAAGCTTTCACTTTCAATATACCTGCAACATTGTTGGAGATATTCGGGAAAGAAACTGGGAAAACATTGTCAGAAGCAATAACTCGTACTCCGTTTGAAGCCCAAATCAAATTAATCAAAGGAAACAAACTTAGATTGGATCACTCTTTAGTTGTAGGTTTTTTCAACAAATCAATTGGAAGCGTATTAAATCATCTGCAGAACTTTCATAACGACGATGATAGATACAGGATATCAGTGGTCCTTGCTGTGGGAGGTTTCTCTGAATCCCCTATGCTAAGCTGTGCCATTAGAAAGCAGTTTTCCTCTTGGAAAGTATTAGTTCCTGATGATGCTGGTCTTGCTGTCCTGAAGGGGGCGGTGCTATATGGTCATGATCACTCAACTATCAGTTACAGAGTTGCAAGATTCACATATGGGGTTGGAGTACAAACAGACTTTATTCCCAGTGTGCATCCAGCAGAACATTTGGTAGAGTATGATGACGGAAGAAAGATGTGTCAAAATATTTTTAAAGCGTTTCTAAAAGAAGGTTCGTTAGTAAAGCACGGACAAATCTTACGTAAAGTACACGGAGCTATGCCAGCAATAGACACTGATTACATATCTATATCAATATATGCAAGTACAGATTCAAACGTGCAGTTTACAACAGACAGATCTTGTATCAACCTTGGGCGTCTTATTGTTTCTGGCCTTAATATGAATGTTCCTAGGGATAAACGTACTGTTAATTATAACATTACCCATAACAGTACAGATTTCCGTATTTATGCAGTAGATACAAGGTCAGGTAGAATACTAGACGCGTACATAGATCTTCTAAGTTAAATTTCCTGTACGATATGTCTATTTCGTCACAACGATAGTGTATCTAAGGTCCTCGTGGGAAATCTAACGGTTTATAAAAGCACGTTCACTTAAACTAGACTTAGTGGTTGTCATGGGGTGGGTGGGGACGAAATAGCTTTTCTTACATAAATTTCTTTATCATCTTAGCAATAAGGTAGATGAAACCAAGGAAAAATATCACATCAGACAGTGTTTTTTTGATATTTACTGAATGAAACCCTTTTATATTTGAACGCTTTGATTTTACCTGCTTCCTTTTCTTAATAGCATGATGTGGCACCTTCTAAACTCTCAGAATACATCAAAGATGTACACATGAAAAGGTTGTTTAAGTCTACCTACACATAAAACACTACAAAGAAATTTTTTTTAGGATAGAGTTTCATTCCTAAAAAAAGCATTATAGAATTTTATATCGGTATGGTGGCAATATCAATGTCGAGAAATACAGTTTCACGTTGTTTATCCTTTTGTATGGGGATCAGTGGACATCTAGGAAAAGACGGCTGAACAAGTAAAATGTGTTAATGATGAAAAATTGTAGATTAAAATATATACCAACTGCTGCTCTGAAACAGACAATTGTGGAAGTCATTTAAATAAGCCAGTCTAGAGTCCTATGCTATGCAAACTTTGCTTCTGCCGTTCCGTATAAAGGAAACTAGAACGATAAATAATTTTTTATACTGGTCATGAACCAAAAGAGTTCATAGGATTTCCTGTCATCTATTGTCTGGCATCCGTCATTCCGAAACTACTAGGAGGATTACTACGAACATTGCTCATATATTCATCCTAACGTATTTGTGGTTCTAAAATAAACGGTGGTGATCCGACATCCATCCATGCTGATCTAACTTCAAATATGGCGGTCACAATGAAAATATTAACATAGTTATTGCCAATTCTACTGAATGAGTCGGCAGCACCAAAAGGTCTTCCAACAATGTATAGTTTATCGTAAATGAAAACAGTTCCAATCTTTCATCCAAGGTAGTTGTTCGTCAGGACAATTCAGCATCAAAGACTCCAGATGAGTTCAGATTACTTGTTGGAGACTTACTAACCTAAGTGAAACTGACTAATGGCGATTAGCTAGAGCATGTACCTACTGCATCAGAGAAGAAATAACTACACAGACTGGTTCGACAGTTGGCGGGTAAATATATGCAGCTGACTACGGCATGTTTTGTGACATTCAGTAGTTGAAAAAGAAGATACTAAGCATGCAGAAGTAGGTCAGATCTGATTGTCTCAGGAAGAAATTAATTATTACGTCAATAACGGTAGTCAAGTTTATGGGTGTTTCTTAAATTCTTTTAAAATAATAAATAAGTAGACCCTATTATGAAATCTGATCATAGAAACATCTCATTAAATGTTTTAAGCTTGCTTTTTACAAACAAGAAATTTTTTATACGTTAGGGCCAAACAACTAATATATCTTAATATGTGACTAACGGTGTGAGGCAAGGAGATTATCTATCCCCATTTATGTTAAAGGCATATACTGATATTGGATGCAATATCAAAGGTTGACTTATGAATAACATCTGATTTGTTATTTGTATGTTTATACTTATAACATATTTGAGGATTACAAAACGAAAATTATATTGAAAATGTGAGAGTTTCACGATAGCAAATGTGTGTGTGTGTGTGTGTGTGTGTGTGTGATTTAGATTTTTTACGTAGCTTTAACAATGTTTCAGTCATATCGCTACGATTTCTGCAGTGTGACAGTTTATAGTGATGTATAGCATCGGGGTATCATGCTGCAGACACATCATGCCCCAGTCACAATTATTCTGACACCAGGCCAACCAGTCCTAACACTATCCTCTTAAATCTGAGCGCCAAGCGAGAGGCAGCTGTTAGTATATTTTTTTAGTCGTTGGTATGACTCAGACAGGGTTCAAATCCACGACCTCCCGCAACCGAGGCGGACGCTCTAACGACGAGGCCACGAGTACAACAAAATAAAAAGACATTTCATACCACAAAATCTGAAACAGTGACTCTATCTGAGTATAGGCTTTACAGAAACGCGCGTCTGTTTGTGAATGATGATATATAAATAGATCATGTCATTCTTTTTAGAATTTGTTAGATGATAGTGATATACAAAGACAATGTCGCACTTTTGTCAACGAGTAAATATAATCTTGGGTAATTTAAAACATGTTCTACTGATGTAAAAATATTGCCTGTCAAATTCTATTCTATAAATTTGTATTGTGCTCCTCTCTTTACAATTTTTTTATGTTCGCCAATGAGTTTGTTAATTCTTTTTTACCATGATTTTTTTTTTATTTCTAATCCGTTAGGATAATAACCCTAGTGTATCGGGGATGATTATTAACAGCTCTGACATTTTGCTTTGGAAGAAAATGTTATCATTTAGAAACAACACTGCTAGTAGTAGCAACAGAATCTTGAAAGAAGTGTTTCACTTTTCATGCTGCCATAATTCTTCAGTAATTGATCACTAAAGCAAATTATTGACATTTTGTCCTGTGTTGTGTTTAATTGCTGCTTTTTGCCTA